GCAGGGCATCCAGAGGGAGCTGACCACGGCTTACACCCCACAGTCTAACGGTGTAGCAGAACGGGCGAACCGGACAATTCTGGAGACAGCTAGGGCGCTGCTCATAGAATCTGGGCTGGGCAACTCCATGTGGCCCCATGCTGTTCGGCACGCTACCGTCGCTAGGAACAGGGTACTCACAAAGGTTGGGGATGACTCGTGGGTGCCGTTGGAGAGGTGGCTTGGGAGGAAGCCGCCGGTGGACATGCTGAGAGTGTTCGGTTGCATGGCAGTCGCCCACGTTCCCAAGACCTACCGCAGTAAGTTGGGGGCGAGTGCAATCTGGTGTGTGCATTTGGGGCTGGCTGCTGAGAGCAAGGGATGGCTGCTGTGGGAGCCTTCCAAGGGTGTGTTGTTTGACAGCAGGGATGTGAAGTTTGTTGAGGGCATGATGTATGGGAGCTGGGAGAAACAGCCGGAGGCCAGGGTGTCCCAGCAGATGGAGCAGATCACCATGCAGCTGGACCTGACTCCTAGTGTGTGGGAGGAGGGAGAGGAGGCAGCTGCAGAGGGTGGTGATAAAGAGAAGGTGCAGGAGGCACCTGCTGGTGGAGGTGATGGTGTGGAGATTAGCGGTAGCACTAGTGGAGCTGCTGGATCCGAGGGAGGAGAGCAGCAGCAGGGGAAAACTAAGAAGCCGAAGGGTGTTATTATGAAGGGATGGGAGACACCCGTCTCCAGGCCAGGACGTACCCGTATGGCTACTAAGAAGCTGACTGCAGGAGCTGATGTAGCGGAGCAGCAGCTTGGGACCGAGGAGGCATTGCTGATTCTACCGCATGGCTATGACCCGGATGAGGAGGATCAACCTGCGTACTGTTTTCTTGCCCCTGCACCAGAGGAACCAGCTAGCATGGAGGAGGCATTAGCTGGACCAGATAGGGACAAATGGCTAGCTTCCAGGGATGCTGAATACCAGAGCCTGCTGGAGAATGGGACTTGGGAACTAGTGGTGCTGCCTGAGGGAAAGAAAGCGGTACAATGCAAGTGGGTGCTAAGGATCAAGACTGACGACAAGGGGCAGGTCACCATCTACAAGAGTAGGTTGGTGGCTAAGGGGTTTATGCAGAAGGAGAAGCGGGACTTCAATGAGATCTTTGCTCCCACTGCCAAACCCCCTACCCTTCGTGTCTTGTTGGCAGATGCAGCCGTTAGTGGGAAGTTCATTATCCAGATGGACATATCAACGGCATTTCTCAACGGGATTTTAGAGGAGGAGGTGTTCATGACGCAGCCACCTGGGTATGAGGATGGTACGGGCAGGGTGTGCAAGCTGAAAAAGTCCATCTATGGCTTGAAGCAGGCGCCACGCTGCTGGTACCAGAAGTTGGCAGCTGTTTTAGAGGAGATGGGATTCAGGACCAGCAGCTGTGATGAGAGCCTCTTTCTCAAGGGGGAGGGGGAGAAGCTGGTGCTGTTTCTGGTCTATGTGGACGACATTCTTCTCTTTAGCAGCAGCATGAAGGAGATCCAGAAGGTGCAGCAGCAGCTGATGGAGAACTTCAAGTGCAAGAACCTTGGGGAGGTAAAGTACTACCTCGGGATGCACGTGGAGAGGGATCTGGATCACAGGTGGTTGAAGCTGCACCAGGAGAAGTTCATCAAGGAGCTTGGGGAGAAGTACGGAATTGAGAATGAGCGCAAGGTTGCAACTCCCCTGCCAGCAGAATTCAAGCTTGTGAAAGCTGCAGAGGATCAAGGGGTTGAAGCCGAGGAGCAGCAGCAATTTCAGTCCTTGGTGGGCAGCCTCTTGTATGCAGCAGTTCACACGAGACCCGACATCTCTTTCTCGGTTGGGCAGCTGGCTAGGGTAGTGCAGAATCCATCAGAGGAGCAGGTGGATGCAGCTGAGCGTGTGGTGAAGTATCTGAACTCTCACCCAAGCATTGGAGTTCAATACTCCGCATCTGCACAGGTGAAGCAGAAAGGGGTTGAGGTGCTGAAAGAGAAGGGGGAGAGGCTTGGAGAAGGCAAGCTTTTTCTTACTTGCTTTACTGATGCTACGTGGGCCTCTGAGAAGGAGGATTCCTCATCTGTGGGAGGATACATCTGCGTAGTTGGGGGAGGACCGGTTAGTTGGAGGTCAAAGAAGCAGACGGAGACAGCACTCTCTTCCGTGGAGTCAGAGTACATGGCGATGTTCCATGGGGTGAAGGAGGTGATTTGGCTGAGGAGGTTGTTAGAGGAGATTGGCCAGGAGCAGAAGGTTGCTACGCCGCTGTTTTGTGATAGCAAGGGGGCTCTTGGGATGGCCAGGAACGCTGTGCTTCATGGGCTGAACAAGCACATGCGTATCAAGTGGCACTGGCTGCGTAAGGAGGTGAAGAGGGGGACGGTGAATCCGATCTACATCAAGACTCACCAGCAGCCAGCGGACTTCCTCACCAAGAGGCTTGCGGATGAGTCTCATTGGCGTTGTGTGCGCATGAGTGGAATGAGCATGAACTAGTATGGAATGATGGGGATGCAGCCGGCAGGCTGAGGGGGAGTGTGTTGGGTGCAAATTCACATTGCACGACATCCTGCCGTCTGTTTGTACGAGTATGCGTGTGCGAATGCATTTGCGTGTGAATGGTATGTTCCTGTGTTTGTTTGCTTTCGCAATTTTCGCTTGAAGCATTTGCAGGTACTCGCAAAATGTGCGCTTCGGCATAACATTGTACGCACTATGAACAGTACAAGCAGAAAGGACGAGCTCGCAAAGGAACCCAAGATGGAAGCTTTGCGGTTCGGCTTACTTGATTGCGCAGATTCAGTTCTATCCAACTCGAAATTGTACTGTTTTGTTTGGTTGACTATAGTGTAGCAGGGCAGGCACTATAGGGGTACAATTTAGGTGAAGGTTGGATGTTGTTTGTCTGTATCTGCATGCTACAGGGCCAGGGGAAACCAGCGGAACCAGCATTTGGCTGGTTGGGCAAAGACAAAACAGGTTCTGTTTTTAGGACCTGAACCTGGTTGTTGTTTTCCCAGGTTGGAAAAACAGAACCAGAGGTTGTTCACCAACCTATCACCTGCTATTTTGTTCAGCCAGGTTGGTTCTGTTGCTTGGAATTATTTGGGATCATCCCTGGTTGTTCCCAGGTTGATTCCCAAGGTCCTTGCTAGCTAGAGCTATTTATTCCTTCTCTGTTTGTACCTGAATATAGTGAAATTGATTCAAGCGAATTCCTTCCTTGCTGGAATTTCTTTTCTACGCGGTGCGACGGCGGAATGCTACCCGAGTCAACGCTAGTACGCTAGCACTCCAACGCTAGGCTAACGCTGTCCGAGCCATAACTTCGTAATGGCAGAACTTTTCGCGAGGCAACTTGGCTTATTTTAAAGCTCTTAGAGTGAGCTTCGATATAGGAAATTCTCAGCTTAATCCGGTCGACGGTCTGCACGATACGCTGCGCGACGCTCAAGGTACTCTTGCTGTTTTGACTAAGTCCCTCTTGATCCCTCTCTCTACAAACTCGGACCCGAGGATAGGGGCTGGTCTTGTACCAGGCACCCAAGGACCCTTGGAGGTGACCCCGAGGAGAGGTTTTAAGTGTGATAAAGTCTTAATAGCTTGAGTTTATTAGGCCCTTACACCAACAGGGCACCACCTCTCCCCACCCTCCTCCCCCTCTCCCTCCTCCCATCCTTATCTTGAACTCATCGGCTCTCTCATGTACGCCATGGTTTCCACTCGCCCTGACCTTGCCTACCCCATCAGCGTCCTAGCTCGGTTCGTTGGCGCTAGCAAGCATACGGCAGCCCTTCCCCACCCCTCCTCAGCGGCTACAGCGACTCTTCCTGGGCTGATTCTCGACCGGATCGGCGAACCTCTCAGGGTTATGGTTTCTCTCTGGGCAGCGGTTTTATCAGCTGGCGGTCCACACGCTCCTCTGCCGTCGCCCTCTCCTCCTGCGAAGCAAAGCTCTACGCTGCAACCATGGCCGCACAAGAAGCGCGTTGGCTCACCTTCCTCCTTGATGAGCTTGGAGCCCCCCAACGCTGTCCCACCATCTGGTGTGACAACGCCAGCACCATCCACCTCACCAAGGATGCTGTGTATCATGGGCGCTCCAAACACATTGAGCTTCGCTATTTCTTCATTCGCGATCTCATTGAGGCCGGCCACATTCGCCTTGGCAAAATCGACTCGGCGGCCAACCTCGCTGACATCTTCACCAAAGCCCTTCCCCAAGCATCCCACTCCTTCCTTCTGCGTCTCCTTGGCCTCACCCCTCCTCCGGTTTCGACGGCCTCCTAATTACATCTTCTAGCCTTACGCATGTTGGGGGGTTGTGTTGTAAATGTATATTTATGCAACATTCATAGGCTAGAAGAGGTGTAGTCTCTTATGTTCTTGGGGGGTTGGGTGTACACTCCAACCACACTTAGTGGTTGGTCAAGATTGGATTTGGTCTTGGTCCTTGGTTGGCACTTGCCAACTTTTGGTCCTAACACCAACCAATCACAGCCTAGCTACATTGTGGGGTTTCCTACTCCACAAGGCACCTCACCCATTGGCCAACTTAGTGACCAATAAGGGTAGTTCCTCCTCCACTCCTCTCTTCCTTGCATGCTTGTACTATAGAGCCTCCTTGGCTCATTACAAAGATGATTTTTGAATTCTATCATCCAATTCTCTGCTTTCCCCCATCCCCTTCCCTGCTTCCCCCCATCCCCTTCCCTGCTTCCCCCCATCCCCTTCCCTACTTCCCCCCATCCCCTTCCCTGCTTCCCCCCATCCCCTTCCCTGCTTCGCCCCATCCCCTTCCTTGCTTCCCCCCATCCCCTTCACTGCTCCCCCCCTAGCCCCATCCCCTTCCCTGCTTCCCCCCATCCCCTTCCCTGCTTCGCCCTATCCCCTTCCTTGCTTCCCCCATCCCCTTCGCTGCTTCCCCCAAGCCCCATCCCCTTCCTTGCTTCCCCCCATCCCCTTCCCTGCTTCCCCCCATCCCCTTCCCTGCTTCCCCCCATCCCCTTCACTGCTTCCTCCCATCCCCTTCCCTGCTTCCCCCTATCCCCTTCTCTGCTTCCCTCCATCCCCTTCCCTGCTTCCCCCCATCCCCTTCCCTGCTTCCCCCCATCCCCTTCCCTGTTTCGCCCCATCCCCTTCCGTGCTTCCCCCCATCCAATTCTCTGCTTCCCCTTATCCCCTTCCCTGCTTCCCCCCATCCCCTTCCCTGCTTCCCCCCATCCCCGTCCCTGCTTCCCCCCATCCCCTTCCCTGCTTCGCCCCATCCCCTTCCTTGCTTCCCCCCATCCCCTTCACTGCTTCCCCCTAGCCCCATCCCCTTCCCTGCTTCCCCCCATCCCCTTCCCTGCTTCCCCCCATCCCCTTCCCTGCTTCCCCCCATCCCCTTCATTGCTTCCCCCCATCCCCTTCCCTGCTTCCCCCCATCCCGTTCCCTGCTTCCCGCCATCCCCTTCCCTGTCTTCGTGTTACCAGTTTCCCTGTCCCTTTTACCTGTATCCCTTTTCCTTGTGTCTCCCCACCCTCTGTTCTGCTTCCTTCATCCTCGCACACCTTACCCCCTGCACACCTTACCGCCTGCACACGTTACCGTCTGCACACCTTACCCGCTGCACACCTTACCGCCTGCACACCTTACCGCCTGCACACCTAACCGCATGCACACCTTACCGCCTGCACACCTTACCCCCTGCACACCTTACCCACTGCACACCTTCCCCCCAGCACACCTTACCCCCTGCACACCTTACCCCTTGCACACCTTACCACCTGCACACCTTACCCTATGCACACCTTACCGCTTGCACACCTTACCGCCTGCACACCATTCCCTCTACTCTCTCCCCATTCCCTCCCCCTTTGATCCCCCTTGTCCTCGCGGTGGGCCGGGGGAGTGCAGATTGGTGCAGACTGCCTTTAGCCACCCCTGCTGCCCCATACTCTCTGCTGACCTGCGCCCTATGAGGCCCTGCCCTCTCTGTTCCACCGCCCCTGCATGTACGGAGGGATTGGGAGACGCTCTGCCTGGCAGCCAGTACTGTGCAGGCAAGGAGTTTGCTAGAAAGGCATAGTGCCAGCGTAGCGGAAACGTGTTTGTAGAAACAACAAGATAGAAATCTTGCATTGATCATTGAAAAGTAGAATGATAACACAATGATGACTAAATGATGTGACACAGTAGGGTATATATGCATCCAGCTACCCCTCCAAAATGACCCATTCACACTAATAATGTTGTACCAATAATTGTACCCTCTACCCTCCAATAATGTTGGGCTCCAATAATTGTGGCCTTACAATAATTGTAACAATTATTGTAGGACCTGGAGGCTTATAATGAGGACTACACTAAAACCAAACAGCACACTGGTATACAGTATTCGTTATACTGTATTCAGATTTCCAACACTCCCCCTTGCTGTAGGTTTTAGTGAATCCGTTTTCATTGGACGATAGGGTGGTCGAGGTGGTGTACCACCACAAGGTAGGGGTGTGTCCAAACCAAGCTAGGGTTTGGTGTTGGCCAAGCTGCTTGTCACTGTAGCACTTTTCCCCTCCCAACCTTTGGGCCTTCCAAACTCCAACCAAACCACATTTCTTCACGTTTTCCAATCCCTCCTTCCAATCTCGACATTCTAGATCGAGATCTAGAAAGTAGTGGCTGCTGTTGACGAAACCGTAGCAGCTCCATGACGAAATCTCCATAAAACCATGCCACAATGCGTGTATCGTCATGGCAGAATGCCTTTAGCGCACGCCGAATTTCCGAAACTGTAGGCTTTATCGCACGCGTGCTGCACGATGACGCGACGACTACACTTGACGCGCGTTTGCGACGATCGCGGTTGCGGATGACGCGAATCGGTAGCGGATAATGCATGACGTACGGCTGGCACGGAACTGCATTGGCGGGCGCACACTTCGCGCGATAGAAGCGACGACCTTGCGTTCGTCAGCGGCTGACGATCTGCTGCGCGCCTACTGCATCATTTGCCTGTCCGCGCTTGCTGCATCTTCGTAAGCCTTTCTCTCCATGCTTTGGCAATCTTGCCAAGTTTGCTCAAACTTCACCCATGTTGCCCTGTGATGCTTCCCATACACTCCAGCAGACACATGGTAGCAGCCGGAGTTGCCGAACTCCATCAGCTGGAGGGTTGCGCATGCCGACGAACTCCAAGTATCCCAGAAATCTGCACTCCATATATGCAGAAATGTCCACTCCATGTATGCAGTGCTCATCAAGTATGCCGAGATCTGCATACCAAGTATGGAGAAACGTGCACACCAGGTATGCAGTAATGCGTGCTCCATGTATGATCTCCATCCTTCCTCCAGATGGTGCCGTTCATCTGCAGCAACCAGTCGCACGATACCACTGCATCACGACGGATGACGCCGACCGGCTGCATCCTTTCTGCCTACTCCCCCTGCCTATTGGCAACCTTTGGTGAGTAGGTCTTCCCCTTATGCTCCTTGACTCCATATCCCACTCCAGTGCCACCAGATACACTTCACACCCCACCCCCCCCCACCCATGTGCTTGTAGTCATGCACATAACCGCGTACACAGCTACAAGCACATGAGTGAGTGTGGAGTTAGGGGATGCTCTGTTGTGCAACACAGATCGAGGTGGCCGCACAGGTGAGTACAACACCAGAATCCTTGACTTGATTGCCTTGACCAGCCAGCAGATTGCAGGTGAGATGCTACTTGCTTGGCTTGTCCACCTCATTTCCCACATCAACATTTTCCACGCTTTTCAAAATGGAGACACCTGCTGCAGGTAAGTCATCAGCTGTGCCTCCGCTTCCTTCGGCCGCACTGACTTCATCAGCTGCAGGTGAGTCCTGTTCTACAAGGTCCGCTCTATCGCCTCCCGAATCCACCGCGGACATTTTTCCTTCTCCCCCTGAATTCCACACCGCAACGTGGGGTGAGACTTCATGCGTGGTATCATTATGTGCCAGCTTCCGCACAGCGCATGCTTTGTGTGCCATGCGGTATGTGACAGACGCATGTGCAGACTGGCCACTCAAGTGCACTCCAGGTGTGCGGGGATCCGTGCTCCCAGGTGCGTCCATGTGCACACCAGGTGTGCGGAAAAGGGTAACCCCTTCACGATCAACCTGATTCGATGACACATCATCACGGGAATGTCCAGGAGCATGGGCGGATGTAAGTGCATGCGCATACTACACCACGAGCACTCCATCCACGTTCTTGGCAAGTCCAATCCACACGTACTCCTCTCCATCAGTCATGGTGATCTCGGTGTCTCCATTAGTAATGGTATTGATGCGCGCTCCCTTTTTTCAGTAGCTGACAATAGGAGAGCAGGTTACTCTTCAAGCCAGGTACGTGGAGGACGTCAGTGTACCGAACTGTTGTCCCATCAGGTGCCGTTGCTCCGATCGTTCCCGTCATCGTGCTGTGCAATCGGCTCCCATCAACAAGCTCCACGTATACAGATTCGTCCAGCTCCTTCAACTCTTCAAACCAACGCTTGTCCGAGGTCATGTGCTGGCTCCATCCACTGTCCAGCAACCACGATGACGCTTTAGCTGGTGGTAAGGTAGCTTGTGACGATCCCACCATTGCAATGCATGTAACAGTGCGTTGCTTGTCTTCCCCGGCTGCCCCTTGTTGTTTTGACACATCGCTGTCACGCTTGGGGCTGCCACTCCTTCGTGGGAAGAACAAACGGCTGTCGCTGGTGTGCGGTTTTGCCTTTCTGCGGGTATGCGGTTCCCACCCTGTCGGTGTCCAGCCAGGGGGTGCCTTCGTACACTTGAAGAAGAGGTGGCCGACCTCCTTGCAGTACCAACACACAAGAGGTGAGCGAACCGCACTTCCTTCCTTGCCTTGCATTTTCTCCCCAGCGAACTCTTCCTTGTACTCGGTGCTGCCTTTAGTAGTTGGAGAAGGTGAGCGATCTCTACGTGCTTGTCCAACCATGCGAGGTGGACGCCGGTCAAAGTTATCCTTCGTAATGAGGTCGTGATACCTCTGCTCTTGAATCATCATCCGCTGCAAGGTGAAGCTATCTGTCACGTTGTGTAGCATTGCCAATTGCCTCATTTCCTCCCAATGCGCCGGTAGTCCGGTGAGCAGATTTAAGCTGAATGTGTCCTCATCCACCATCTTCCTCGCGAGTGCTAACTTGTCCCGGATTGCCGTTGCGCGGTTCACGTACTCCTTCACCCTCTCTTGACTCCCCATTTTTAGGTTGTCCAACTGTTTCAAAACAGAGACCTTCGCCACCGAATCTTTGGCCTGGTAAGTGTCCATTAAATACTCCCATGCTTCATAAGCCGGACTGTAGGATTCCTGAAACATATCCAGCTGCAGCTGAATCGTAGCGCTCACGCTGTGCAGTAGGACCCAAAAAGCGAGCGCCGCACGCTATGAGTAATCCGCCTGTAGCATTTCTAGCCGCTCCATAGCGTCGTTAATGTCACCATCTCCCATGGTAACCGGATACTGCAGGGTCACAAAGAACTCCCACAGATTCGTGACGCGAGCGTTTATACGAAACCGTAGTGCCCACTCCCGGAAATTGGAGCCGTCAAACGGAGTGGTGGTGAACGCCTTGTCCACCGTTGCTCCCACCATTTTGCGTGACAGGCGTTCCTTGTCTTCTTCCGTATATTCGTGTGGAGTGGGGTCGAAGAGAGTAGGCACGGTTGATGGTCGAGGTAGCTGTACCGTGCGCCGCATATTTGTTGGTGTAAGGGCCTAATAAACTCAAGCTATTAAGACTTTATCACACTTAAAACCTCTCCTCGGGGTCACCTCCAAGGGTCCTTGGGTGCCTGGTACAAGACCAGCCCCTATCCTCGGGTCCGAGTTTGTAGAGAGAGGGATCAAGAGGGACTTAGTCAAAACAGCAAGAGTACCTTGAACGTCGCGCAGCGTATCGTGCAGACCGTCGATCGGATTAAGCTGAGAATTTCCTATATCGAAGCTCACTCTAAGAGCTTTAAAATAAGCCAAGTTGCCTCGCGAAAAGTTCTGCCATTACGAAGTTATGGCTCGGACAGCGTTAGCCTAGCGTTGGAGTGCTAGCGTACTAGCGTTGACTCGGGTAGCATTCCGCCGTCGCACCACGTAGAAAAGAAATTCCAGAAAGGAAGGAATTCGCTTGAATCAATTTCACTATATTCAGGTACAAACAGAGAAGGAATAAATAGCTCTAGCTAGCAAGGACCTTGGGAATCAACCTGGGAACAACCAGGGATGATCCCAAATAATTCCAAGCAACAGAACCAACCTGGCTGGACAAAATAGCAGGTGATAGGTTGGTGAACAACCTCTGGTTCTGTTTTTCCAACCTGGGGAAACAACAACCAGGTTCAGGTCCTAAAAACAGAACCTGTTTTGTCTTTGCCCAACCAGCCAAATGCTGGTTCCGCTGGTTTCCCCTGGCCCTGTAGCATGCAGATACAGACAAACAACATCCAACCTTCACCTAAATTGTACCCCTATAGTGCCTGCCCTGCTACACTATAGTCAACCAAACAAAACAGTACAATTTCGAGTTGGATAGAACTGAATCTGCGCAATCAAGTAAGTTGAACCGCAAAGCTTCCATCTTGGGTTCCTTTGCGAGCTCGTCCTTTCTGCTTGTACTGTTCATAGCGCGTACAATGTTATGCCGAAGCGCACATTGTGCGAGTACCTGCAAATGCTTCAAGCGAAAATTGCGAAAGCAAACAAACACACAAACATACCATTCACACGCAAATGCATTCGCACACGCATACTCGTACAAACAGACGGCAGGATGTCGTGCAATGTGAATTTGCACCCAACACACTCCCCCTCAGCCTGCCGGCTGCATCCCCATCATTCCATACTAGTTCATGCTCATTCCACTCATGCGCACACAACGCCAATGAGACTCATCCGCAAGCCTCTTGGTGAGGAAGTCTGCTGGCTGCTGGTGAGTCTTGATGTAGATCGGATTCACCGTCCCCCTCTTCACCTCCTTACGCAGCCAGTGCCACTTGATACGCATGTGCTTATTCAGCCCATGAAGCACAGCGTTCTTGGCCATCCCAAGAGCTCCCTTGCTATCACAAAACAGCGGCGTAGCAACCTTTTGCTCCTGGCCAATCTCCTCCAACAGCCTCCTCAGCCAAATCACCTCCTTCACCCCATGGAACATCGCCATGTACTCTGATTCCACGGAAGAGAGTGCTGTCTCCGTCTGCTTCTTTGACCTCCAACTAACCGGTCCTCCCCCAACTACGCAGATGTATCCTCCCACAGATGAGGAATCCTCCTTCTCAGAGGCCCACGTAGCATCAGTAAAGCAAGTGAGAAAAAGCTTGCCTTCTCCAAGCCTCTCCCCCTTCTCTTTCAGCACCTCAACCCCTTTCTGCTTCACCTGTGCAGATGCGGAGTATTGAACTCCAATGCTTGGGTGAGAGTTCAGATACTTCACCACACGCTCAGCTGCATCCACCTGCTCCTCTGATGGATTCTGCACTACCCTAGCCAGCTGCCCAACCGAGAAAGAGATGTCGGGTCTCGTGTGAACTGCTGCATACAAGAGGCTGCCCACCAAGGACTGAAATTGCTGCTGCTCCTCGGCTTCAACCCCTTCATCCTCTGCAGCTTTCACAAGCTTGAATTCTGCTGGCAGGGGAGTTGCAACCTTGCGCTCATTCTCAATTCCGTACTTCTCCCCAAGCTCCTTGATGAACTTCTCCTGGTGCAGCTTCAACCACCTGTGATCCAGATCCCTCTCCACGTGCATCCCGAGGTAGTACTTTACCTCCCCAAGGTTCTTGCACTTGAAGTTCTCCATCAGCTGCTGCTGCACCTTCTGGATCTCCTTCATGCTGCTGCTAAAGAGAAGAATGTCGTCCACATAGACCAGAAACAGCACCAGCTTCTCCCCCTCCCCCTTGAGAAAGAGGCTCTCATCACAGCTGCTGGTCCTGAATCCCATCTCCTCTAAAACAGCTGCCAACTTCTGGTACCAGCAGCGTGGCGCCTGCTTCAAGCCGTAGATGGACTTTTTCAGCTTGCACACCCTGCCCGTACCATCCTCATACCCAGGTGGCTGCGTCATGAACACCTCCTCCTCTAAAATCCCGTTGAGAAATGCCGTTGATATGTCCATCTGGATAATGAACTTTCCACTAACGGCTGCATCTGCCAACAAGACACGAAGGGTAGGGGGTTTGGCAGTGGGAGCAAAGATCTCATTGAAGTCCCGCTTCTCCTTCTGCATAAACCCCTTAGCCACCAACCTACTCTTGTAGATGGTGACCTGCCCCTTGTCGTCAGTCTTGATCCTTAGCACCCACTTGCATTGTACCGCTTTCTTTCCCTCAGGCAGCACCACTAGTTCCCAAGTCCCATTCTCCAGCAGGCTCTGGTACTCAGCATCCCTGGAAG